GGAAATATCCTTTTATTAATTTTTTATCGGATAATTTCTCTCAGTGTATGCTCATAGGATATTTGGATATTAAAGGGAAGATAGGAAATCCTCATTAGATTTTTAAAAATATCATGTCTCGACATTTTGTTCATTTTACTCGCAAATTATTAATCTTCAAAATTAGATAAATAAAAAAAATCCTTTTACTTAGAAATGACTTTGTTGATCCAATCAAGTAAAATACATAAAGAACATTTAAGAGTCTTTACACGAATCTTGCAGTATAATATACACGGATTGTAATGTCATATGATCAAACAGAACACATTGATGTCATGATTCCTTGGAGAATCAAGAGAAATTTACTTTATTCTTATTATTGTTACATAAAACCTTCTGCACCTAATATCTATCCCGAAATTTATCGACAGAAGAATATTAGACAACAAAATGTTTTACACATGTCAAATTTTGTAAGGTGTAAGAGGCTTTTATTCTTATTTCGTCGGTGCATTAGACAACGTCGTGTCCAAACGCAGCTTTATTCCATGAGATCATAAGGCCCCCACGTACGTGCAACCGCATATACGACGAAACCATACATCACAATACGGCTGTGCTTTCATTTGCATAACGATTGGATATACGTGAAACCCCCACGCGCTTCTGGTAAGGTGAATGGAGACATGCATGTGTGTGTGAGTACACACAGAAAAATATTATTCTACTGCTGAGAAGAGCGATTAGTCAGTTTATTGTCCTTCTCTGAAGTAATGGTTATCTTCAATAAAGAATATTTTCCAGATAGTCTTAAAATATATCCATCACTTTGAGAAAAGCTCATTATTGTGTACTTAGAAGAAGGATTTATTCTCTTAACAGGGAGAGAATATTATAGTTTTCTTTCATATAAATTCTTTTTAATTTTAGGAACATAGTAAATTTTGATAGGAACGTAATAAATTTTTTAACAGTACATTTCTGTTTTCAAAATAAAAACTGCGCATATAAAATAAAAGAATAATCTATTACTGCGAAATGTCGCAAGTAATTTATTCCTCGATTACAAAATTTTGTAATAATTTTCATTATGAAATCTTCTCCATATTTACAAGAATTTTATAAAATTTTATCAAAGAAGAAGCTAATTCGACTCTATGTAGTAAGCAAACCGAATTTTTGTTTTAATTTAGTATTCTTGATTGAAATGATAAATTTACTAGGATTCAAAATGTATTTTAAATAAATTTGATGTTTAACGTAACGATGACAGCTATATAGGTGACAGCTATATAGGTGAATTTCGTACGTACAATTTTAATGTATGTAATTTAATAAACTGTAAACTGTATTAATTCTACATATAAAACTCGTATAGTTTTACTTATACAGAGTACCCGATAATTTTCTACAGAACTGCGCTGTACAGGTAGATTAGGCTAAACTCAACAAAAAATTATTCTATTATTTTGCGAATAACCACGTAAAATTTTGAATTATTAATTAAGAAAGGTTGTTGAGTGATCGCGCGCTATGCGATACATAAATTATGATGGCGACGCTTGTCGTGTATTTTTAGATTTGGTCAAACTAAAGAAAGAAGTCCCCTATCATTTTGCAAATACGTAGCAGAGATAGGTGGATTTTTTAGCAATAGTTAAAGGAATATTGACGGACAACCATATATAATCTTTCTTCAGTTTTTTTTAATTAATAACTCAGGAATCCACGTGTTATTTGTGAAATTGTAGAGGACTCTTTTGTTCAGTTTGATCTAATTCACAAGCACATGATAGCAGACGTCGCTGTCATAACTCAAGTGCATCAGATTTCTTTAACTAATAATTCAAGATTTTAACATGGTTTACATTCTGTCAAGAAAGTATCGGGAATTGTTAAATAAAACACACATATTTCATTTATTCATCAAAATTTATTGGGTCGCCTTCAAAGTAGGCTCCATTTGAAACAACGCACGTATGTCATCATTTTTTCCAATCTTCGAAACATTTCTTATAGGCGCTTTCCGGGATGGCCTTCAGTTCATGCGCCGATTTTTGTTTGATGACTTCAATCGACTCAAAACGGGTACCCCGGAGTGGCAATTTCAGTTTTGGGAAGAGGAAGAAGTCACACGGTGCCAAATCTGGTGAATACGGTGGTTGTTCAAGTATATTTGTTGAATTTTTAGCGAGAAAATCAGTCTCAATCGTAGCTCGGTGAGACGGCGCATTATCGTCGTGTAAAATCCAAGAATTATTCACCCACAAATCTGGCCGTTCGAACCAAAATCGAACGAACGGACTCATGGGACATGTTAAGTTCGTGTGCTACCTCTCTTAAACTGGAATGACGGTTTTCGAGTACAATTTCCTTCACTTTTTCGATGTTATCTTCGGTCAAACTTGTCGATGGGCATCCAAAACGAGGCAAGTCTTCGACGACTTCTCGACCCTCCTTGAAGGCTTTGTACCACTCATATGCACGGGTTTTTGATAGTGCTGAATCCCCATAAGCCTTCTGCAACATCTTCAATGCATCAGCACACGAAATTTCGTTCGCAACATAAAATTTGAGACAAATTCTTTGTTCAATATTTTCACTCATTGTAAAAATCGGCACGCACTACTGACATCGACTGACTTAACCAGTGTTGTAAACACACTGATTGACAGATTCCACTCTAACTTGGCATCATAATTAAGGACAGTTGTACCAACCTGGGAAAAAAAATGTTTATACCTTCGACTAGCGCGGGCAGTTTAAATCGACAATTCCCAATACTTTTTTGACAGAATGTAAAATCACGTTAAATAACGCGATGTTTGCAGAATGATAGAGGATTTTTGTGTTTAGTTTGACCTAATCTATCTGTGCACCACGGCTCCATAGCGAATTGTCAGACAGCTTGTATAGTTGTTACTTCCTACTACTATGTCTGCCATGTCTAGAACTATTATGTCTTCTCCTGGGTATAAATTAGTGGATATATAAACTTATGAAATACTTGGAACAAGTAACATTTACTTGAATGCAGCATGTATTTTTCTGTGAGCACCTTCGTCTGTGCCCGTCCGCGCACACGTACGCACATACATACGTACATGTGCACGCTCGCGCGCGCATTCATCTCTCGAAACAATAGACGCCAGTCCGCCCCTTTGCTCCACATCGGTAGTTCGCGTTCCTTCTCCCACCTCCGAACGAGAAGCGACGTCTCCGGTCGTGGGACAGAGACCGCAGAGTCCTGAAAGAGACAACGAGAGATGAGATGAGACGAGACGAGGCGCGCGGGCGCAAATGCATTGTCTAATTGTGTGGAAAATGCAGTGTAGCTGCTACCTTTCGCGGACGCTCCCGGGGGCGCATCAGGCAAACGCAACCCCCGATGCAATTCCGCGCGTAATAACGCTGCGTTAGCACGGCGGTCGTTAGCCGTGCTCGACGACTGTTGAAGCAGGTGCGGAGCAACGCGTTACCCCCGTAGCGTTGTACGGAGCTGCCCGCGGTTATTTTGAAATCGACCCAACAGAGAGGCAAGCAGGAGAGAAACACGACATTAAATTAAAACGTGATACACACAGGCCGAGAGATACGAGAACGCCCTTTACAATGTTCCGACCGTAACATTCCGTTCTCGGGACGAGAGCCTTCTTGAGTTGAAATTTTCTCGACAAACGCGAGATAAATGGATCTTGTCAGAAACTTTAATTCAACTCCTGAATTATCACTGTAACTTAATCTCGAGAGTAAGTAAAAGAGACCGAGTCTAGTTGGCTCCAGGGGTATGTCGGCTATGTGGTTTGTTTATGTATTTATCGTGAGAGAAACAATTGAAATAAGATGTGAAATGTAGAAACAAAATGAAATGTTTCTTTAAGAACACAAATACTTTTCCCCGAATTTCATTAAAATCAGAATAATATTATAGTTAAAAATAGGAAAAATTTGATTTAGGAACAGACAAGTTTATTTTCGAGCGTTCCGAAATTTTTATTAATATTCTAGATCGTAAGTGAATAAACTGAAATGACGAAGTGTTATTAGTTAAAATGAAGTTTTCTGCATATATTTTATACCCTATTTCGTGTAATAAAAGCAATTTTCATTTATAAATGATTGAAATCGGACATATGGATGGATGAGATCACTATTTAAGGACTGACAGAAACTGCTAACCAGGATACACATTTTATATGTGGCTTTCTCTTATCCTGAATTGCTAGCCAACTTGGTCCAAGATGGCCACGTTGCAGGATGGTCTCTCCTAGACGAAGAGAATATTTTATTATCAAAAATTTTCTATTATATAAAAATATTCACACAGAAAGAATAGTATTTTTGGATCGCTTACGACAGCCTAAAATATCTCGTCATCAACGATCATTTAGCTTTGAAGTGCTCCGTATTCAAAGGATTAATAGTAATTTTAGTCCCTAAAATATGAATAATATATGTGAAGTAGAATTCTATTCGTATATACCGCACGGAAAAAAAGGTTTGATTGAATTAACCAAATATCTAGTCGAATATGAACAATCCAGAAATTCCGATTGAAGTAACCCGAATTCTGTTTAAGTTAACAAGATTTTTGGTTGATTTTTGTCTGTTAAATAGCCAAACATGTTTGGTTAGTCAATCAAAAATCTTGTTTACTTAAACAAAGTTCGGGTTATTTCAATCGCAATTTCTGGATCGTTCATATTCGACCAGATATTTAGTTAATTTAACCAAATCTTTTTTTCCGTGCGGTATATACCGTATATATCGTATTATGATTGATCAAAATGTAACGTCCGCAAAATTAAACAAAACGATCGTCTAAGATTGATCTCTTTATTATTAGAAAGATTGTAAGCCGAATAATTGTAATGCACAATTCGTCTTATCGTTTCACTGTTTAACATTCTTCTTTAATTAAAAGATATTTAGATATGCGTGATTTATTTTTAGCATACTCGTCATGTCTTCATCTCGATCAAGCTTTGCGCTCACCAAGATGCAATATGTCTTTGCAGATTTCCACGTTAGTCTCGCACAGAGAACGGCCGCTATGTTCGGACCGGAGTCTACGAGCGGTCGCCAGGGTCGGCCAGGCGGTAAATTTGGCGGTCGAGAGATTCGTGACCGTCGGCGAAACTATCGCGGACGACAACCCGGAGATCAAGCAGGACATGTACGAAGCGTGCAAAGAGGCGAGAGTCGCCGGTAAGAAGCGTATACAATATAGCATAGTGATTAGAATATAGCAAAGCAATGAGAACACCAACTACTTCCGTTACATCACTATTTCCCAAATCATTTTCGCTCGTTACACAAAATCTCTCATATAATATTCATATAATATCCTCACATTCGTGAAAGAATGAATTGCAGATAATATTTTCATAATTTGATCGGGAAAGAATGATATTACCGCGATTTCCATGGACCAATTAAAATGATCATCGATATTGTTAGATCAAAGCGCCTTTTATAACACGTTGTTGTTCAGTGAACAATGCGTAATGCGGGGGGACTCGTTTTCGCGAATTAAGTCAGTGCATTAATTAAAAGTTGGGACAATGCGAACGTATCGAGTTGTGTATTACGAGGCAAAGTCGCATTAAAACTTTAAAGCATTTCGCGCACCAATATTGCATGACAGATATCGTATGACTGTCGTATGTTAAAAAATTATTAGAAGCTGTATTGTCCAGTGAAGGGACAGCTTAGTATTGATTGCGAAATTTTGATTTGATATCACTCGAGATTATCAGAAAAAACAGAGGAAGAGGACGAGGAAATTCAAGCGACGTAGTTTGCAACAATAATGGCATCGCCCAAGAAGATACACGAGAGACGAGTAACTGAATTTTAAATGCAAATCTTTTAACCCCGTTTCTCATCCGTGGAGATGTATAACAATAACATAAAAAGAAACCAGCGGTGTATCGTAACACAATTTCTATCCTGGCTGCAAACTTCATTGCAACGTTGTATCGCACAGCATCTTAATACTTTAATCTATATTGCGTTTCATCTATTGAAAGCCGTATTTTCTCTCGTCCGGAGATTATACCGTTGTCGGGGAGAACAAATTGCATTACGCTCACCGAACTCGACGATTCTCCGTTCCGCGAATAGCATTATCTCTGACAGGTAGATACTCCTCATCAGCGTTTTAAAGAATTGCATTACCGCGGATAAACTCGTAATCGTGCGACAAGGCCATTCACGGACAAGAAACTCTAAAGCGCATTGCTCCATTTTCAAGAGTGTATTCTTGTGCGATTAGAAAAATTAAGCCGGAAATACAAGTACGACTTTCTCCCTCCTTCTCTCACGCCTTTGAACTTGACATAATTTCAGACAGTTACAAACTGACCAGATAGATCACGCACTGAGAACAATTATCCGATAAGAAATTAACAAATAGATATTTCCGATCAAAATACCGACGGATTTTTATATCCGATCAGAATATCCGATTAAATTTAATTGAATGCTTTCGATCATAATGGCATTTCATTTGAACTTGATTATAACTAATAATTAATTGTTCCAGCAAGTCAGCAGTAATGTTCACAGTGATAGAAATTAATGCTTGTAGTGATAGAAAAATTTTTACTTACCAATCTTCAATAACGATGATATACGATAACGATGAATACGACGATAACGATAATAACGTGTTAATAATAATTAGATTGAATAATCTTTTCGTAAAACAGGTAAAAATATTTCTTTATTGCCCGTGGAATAAATACAGCGTAATCTTTTTCTTTGGAGAAACTAATAAATTTCATTCTGTAAACTTAAATTAGCTCAACATGTGAAGTGATTTGCATTGCAATTACCAAGATAATATCTACAAAAAATAGATATATTTTATTGCAGATTGAGACGGTTGCTTGTATACATAATTTCTTTACTGGACAACTCTGTGTGATTAGGAAGAGAGAAGAAATATATCGTGTGAGGTAGATTGAATCGGAAATCGAATCCAGGTGACTGTTCTGCCAATTAAGTTACTTGAATCCACACGTTTCCAAATATATCTTTTTTTCTCTTATTAACGATCTTAAGTGTAAAGAGAGTAATTCGATCTCTCACAATTGATAATATTTAATTATTTATAAAGATCTAGAGTTTGTGAACTATATCTAGATTTGCTAAATTAACTTATTAACTGAATTAACTAAGAAACTGTAGAAGAGATGAGAAAAAATGTATCGGACATGGTAGACTCGAACCTGGAAATTTTCATTTGCCGATCAATCGCTCTATTCCAACTAGGCTACTCAGACTTCACACTTCGATATATCGTTCTTTCTCTATTCTTGAGGGAATGCTTCATACGTGTTGTTCTTATGCTTGAAAACTTTACCCACAAATTTTGTCCTGCGAAAATATCGTCGTATCAATTGTACGGAACTGCAAATGTTTATACGCAAAAAAAATACGTGCAAATACGTGCAAATATATTTACAGTCGTTTGACAATTGAAACTGCAAGAAACGTGTTTACTAACATTAGTTAAATTCTAGTATTCATATATTCCTGAAAACATGCATTAGAAAAAACCAAAAAATTGTTCATTTATTGCTCGCAGAAATCATTTTAAATATTTGTTAGATATATTTTATTCACTAATATCTCTCTCTCTCTCTCTCTCTCTCTCTCTCTCTCTCTCTCTCTCTCTCTCTCTCTTTTACATTTATTTCGTTATTTATATCTATTACATCCATACATTTTGGATTTTTCGTACTCGAAGTTACATAAAGCTTATACTATCACAGATTGATATACACATACTATCATTAGATTGACTTTAACATCAGCTATTATGCTGCAATGATAAAAATATGCAGTCTCATTAAAAGAAAATGTTGATGGCCCAGAAATCTCGAAAAATATAACTTTAAAAAATATGTTTCGCTAATCTTAAAATTTGACTTTTTGAAACAAATGTTTTCTTACGGCATTTTCTCATATCATTAAAAACAAATGAGATAGTTTAAGTGTTCATATCAGGTGAAACGCATAGAAAGCTTTTATTGAACTTTTACCGCATCAATATAACAAAAAATGTATATCATAGTATGATTTAAACTTAATGATTAGTTATACTAATTAATACAATATATTTGAAGTGAAGAAAATAGCAAAAAATGGTCTACAATAGCCTAATTGCGGTTGTTTAACGCGACTACTAAATTAAATAATTCACGAGAGGATCCCATTATTTGAAGCAACTAATAACGCACGCGCTGAATTGTCCTTCGATCTTTTTCGCGACGAATCTACCTCCCTTTTTCAAATTATCCTTTAATTCCCAATTAACATCGTATTAAATTTTCCTTTTCCCATTCTCAAATCAATCAACTATTGATTGACTTATTAATTACCTCTATTTTATATTATGGTTTATTGTGATGTATAACTAAAATATCTTTAAGTTTCCATCACCGATTCTCACGTCGTGCTAATCAGAAAAGTCTGTCTGGGCGTCAACTCTCATGCAAAAAGAAAAGGAAGAAGAGTCACACGTGGAGATTGTGTACATATCTAAGCGAACTAGCGAGGTTTAAAGTGAACACCGAAAAGATACAGATTGCAACTCTCATACGCAACCTTGTGCGGAAAAGTTCTGTGGACACGCGAGCCGGAAGATACGTACTCCTATAAGTGTGTGTGTCTGTGTGTGGGGATAAAGCTCGTAACCTTTAAACGTCATTTTTCGAAGTCTTATCGCCGGTTGGCAGATTATATCTCCGTGCCAGGGTGCACATTGCAGAACGACGAATCCTACTGTGCCGCTGGTAGCAGCAGCGCGATGACCCAGTTTCACTGGTCGAACCTTGAAAGGTTTTTCACCACCCTCAAGAAGAGTCACTGGTACATATCTTTGCCAAATAGCAGGAAAGTAATGGCCAAATAGGGCCACGAATATTTCTTTCTGGCACACCTGTTCGCGCGTCCGTGCACTTCAGCCGAAAATTGCGCTGTGGGAAGAAGAAATGGTCCCGGAACGACAGTCTTCAGTAGGAAAAATATCTCCCGCCGCAGGGAGAACGGGAGATCTTGAATAAAGGTCTCGTACCGAGGCGGGCCGAGCTTGACGTAGCTTGACGCTGACGTGAAACGAAAAGGACGAGACTCTAATTTGAAAGTAAGAAGAGCAAAACCGACGGAGAAGCGACGACTCGCTTACAGCGAGTGTCTCGAGAGTAGGAGAAAAAAAGAAGATAAGAAAATCTCGTATCGCGCCCGACTCTCTTAATACAGAAACCCTATTATTACGCGAGTTATTCCGTCCGCCGTGATCGATTTTACGCTTTAAGGAAAAGCGGCGAAGTGTAAATAATAAATCGAGTTTTCGTCGCGATAACCGAGGTCAAGCATTTCTACATAACCACATACGGCATGATCCGCGAGTCCAGAGGATCGATGAAAAGCTCCCGACGGAAATGAGATTCAATTGCCGCGGCAAGTTAACGAGACGCAGGAAGTGTCGATTCCAAGTGATAAAACGATGTCCGAACTCGAACTAAAGTTTTACTTCCGACCTGAACTTACTAACATCTGTATATTCTGAACTTTCTAACATCTGTACATTCTGAAGGATCAGTGTATGTTTAAGGGCCGATTGTTCTAACTTCTTGGTAAGCTATCTGACAGTTAAATCATATGTCTGTCTCCGTTTTTTTTTCAAATTAAACAAAAACGGACACATTTAACTGTTAGGTAGCTTACCAAAAAATTGGAACAATCGGTCCTAATATATGAACGTAAAAATATCTGAGGCGAATTATATTTCCGCGGAGTTGAGATTTAAGGGAAAAAGGGATTGTTTCTATTCTAATTGTACCTTATTCTTTTGTTTTGAGATATTTTTACTTTTGCAACTTTTCACGTAACAATCAGACATATCGCAGAAAAAAATGTAACACTACTGTAGATATTATTCTTGTTTATAGAATACATAACTTTGAAACGCAGCAATGCCTCGGTTAAAATCACGCCGTGTAACTGCGCACACACGATGTGAAAATATATCTGAGTCTACATATATCATGTGTTATATATGTGTTAATTTTGATCAACCAAGCTGCGACGGATATTTTCCCTTATACCTAAAGTTTCACACCCCGCGCTTATGGTAGTACCTTATGCTCGGTCCAAATATTCCTGCGTCAATGATTCAATTCACATAGAAATTGAAA